CTCATATCATTGTGGGAAAATTCTTCTTCTACAAGTCCTTCATCACCTTAAACGGAATTGGGTGAAGTTAGAGGACACCGGTCTTTTCCTAACTTCACGGCTTAGATACGGCTAGGTTCGGACTGCCTGACGCCAGGGTCCATCGGTCCAGGGTTCGAATCCCGTTTAGGTCATTGATGAGGCCTAGGAAGTTCCGTTTTGTCCATTAAGATCTCGGACAAAATGATTTGGTGTAGCAGCTAGCAAGGGGTTGGATAAAGATGAACAGTTTCACGAAAACTGTACTTCGTTTGTCCAGTTTGACACATGCACCTGGTCATAACAACATTTTAATCGCCAATCTTTTCGCGTACATTTTTTCCTTTCTTATCAGCACAACCAACGGGACTTGCACTATCTGCTCGAAGCCACGAACTTGGCCCACGACTTTCAAGTGAAAATGGCTTCTGTGTCGGCCTCGAAGCCAGACTTCCGGTCCGAGTGTAGTATTGCTCTTTTCAGGGCTGCGCAACCACTTCCAGCCGACAGTTGATACGAAATTGAAGGCCCCGCTGATAGGAAACTATGAGCAAATCTTGTCTGTTCTGGACAATACAACAGACTAACGTTGAATGACACACTCTTCTTTGTATTGGGGCCGCAGAACGGTGTTCCGGAGGCTGTTCACACACACAGTCCAACAGTCTTCAATCAGCAGCAATTCTCCTTCCCTTTCCCAACTCATTCCACCAAATTTTTCTTTCGCAATCTTACAATATGTATCACTAAGGTATTCTTTGAGACCGGGTTTTGTTTAAATTAAATTTTCTTATAGGGTCAACTTCATGAGTCCACAATTCCCACCGACAGCCGGTCTTGCATATTTGGTGGAAATAGGAAGAAAGAGATTCATGACTAACTCAAGTTTGTGTTAAGGAGCTATAATGCCCGATGCGAACCAAGTAACCAAGTAACCATGGGGATAATAAAGGGAATTGTTGACAAGTGTCCGGTGTAAGCACCGCCTACGAGGCCCGGATATTGGTGAAGTTTGTGGGTTTATGAAGGTCTGCTTAATGAAGCAGACAACCAAGATTTTCGGCTTCATTGCAAAATTGGGATGTATGAAGATTAATGAGATGTATTTACCCTATTTCGTCTAAGTTGATAAAGGACTGGTGGAAGAAGAATTTTCCCACAATCATATGAGTTGAGCTGACGCTTCCATTCAATTTCACACAGCCTTGCTTTCCCAAAAGTTGTTCTTGTCCAGGGTGGACTGCAGTTTCGACTGTGGATGAGAACAACTTTTGGGAAATCAAGCCTATGTGAAAAACAATGTAAACATCAGCTCTACTCATTTCATTGTGGTAAAATTCTTCTTCTACCAGTCCTTCAGTACCTTAAACGAAATTGTGTGAATACATCTCATACTACTGATTTACTGGTAGACACGAAAAACAATACTTA